CCCCAAAACCCCAAAACCCCAAAACCCCATTAATAGTAATAATAATTGAATTATTACTCATAGTTGCCAGATATGGAAAATAAGGATCCTAGCCTGAAGTTCACTTCTATAGAACAAGTAGCGTCCCAAGAGAGCACTGATTTGATAGATGAGGACCAAAGGCAGTATGGCAGGCTCGTATCTTTCAATTGTGAGTATAAATTTATTATGATGATACCTAAACGACCCTATGACATTATTGCGAACCATAAAACCCAACTAGACAGGCAAGCAATTCAAAAGATTATCAAGCTAGCCTCAGGTATCAGAAAGATGGGATATCTCGTATTTCGGGAGATGAAGAAGGACAAGCAGTTTATCTATCACCCTAGTGAATGAAATTTGAGTCAAAAAGTTGAACAGACTTCACTTTGAAGCAAGCCAAATAGCCTCAGTAGGATTAGAAATAATATAAATAGGTTAACTTTAGTCTTTATGAGAGAAACTTCATTCGGATGATTTCTTCTGTATCACAGTTGGTTCAAATTAAAAATTTCACTGTATCCAATAGAAGCTTTGGTAGAATCTTAATGAGCCCAAGAGCGTCTATCAATATCAGCTTCAGTCAATGAAATATCTCCATTCAAGGGTTCAACTATCTGAATAATTGTCAGCCATCAGTCCATATACTCCACTTAAACGAGAACAACATAATTCAGCCTGAAGAGGACAACGTGTATTTGGATGGACTCATCCAGAAGATCGCAGGGTCAAAGCTAAATGACTGTTTGAACCAAGTTCATGTCTCTCTTTCAGAGTCGATTCTTTCAGACATGGATTATATAACAAAGAATGATTACCATATTGGAAACTTTAGTGTGCTTATTTCATAATCTCTGCGATACAAGCCTCAAAAGCTTCAGATGTTGGTCTAAGAATGATAATATCTTCTAATTCACCATCTAAAAACACGTTTTAACCTCTTCTTATCATACCGATCTCTTCAAAGACTCCCCAAGGGTCCCCAACCTCCCTCATGCCCACCCATATCCCTCTCTTACCTCCCAAAGGTTTCTTCCCTGCTTCTCCACCCACCCCCCTAAACTCTCCCTCTAAATTCCCAGTTCTATAACCTTATTAATTCAGCCCCCAGGGGCTATATTCTTGCCTAATTATTAGCACAGGTCTGAAGGACTCTTTGGAAGTGAGAGTGGCATTCTCTGTGGGGTTGGGAGTGAGGATTGGTGGTGAGGGATTGGGGGAGGGCCAGATTTTGGGTGGAGGAGGGGGAGGGGGAGGGAGGAGATACTTGAGGGAGTGAACGTGTGTGATTTGGGGTTTTGGGGGTTTGGGGGGTTACTTGAGGTGTTGGGGGATGAAATAGACACTTTTTAATGAGATTTTGGGTTATTTTAAGATTTTTTAGGGGTTGATTGAGTCATTTTTGATAGGATGTTTATAAACGAAGACTGGTTAGAAAGAAAACTGAATTTAAGAGTTAGAATCTAGTAAATTTTTAATTTTGATGATTTAGAGTTTGGCCAGCTGGGAAAATATTAGTATAGGATTAACTTACAGAATTTTTAAAATTTAGGAAATTTACACTTTAATCCTATTTTCTTTATAAACTGAAATCAATTGTAATGATAATTTTTTCAAAAAGAACCAAACTTGAAAAGATGATTCTCATTTTTCTAAAATAAGAAAGCATAATTTCAATAGGCTGGAGATAAATTGGGGTTTTGGGGTTTTGGGGTTTTGGGG